GCTAATTTTTGATTTATTGTAGAGATGAGGTCTTGCCAAGTTGCCCAGGCGGGTGTTGAATCCGCGGGCTCAGGCAATCCACTCACTTCAGCCTCCCAAAGGCACGGGATTACAGGCCGAGCCACTGAGCCCGGTTTGTGTGCCTTATTAATCTGCCTTTTGTGAGCTGAGCTTTCAGTGAAACTTCCAAGAGAAAAGGGACCACTTTCCCTTGGCCCCTATAGTGTTTCTTGTCCTCATAATAAATATATACATCCTCACTTTGGGAGGCCAAGATGGGAGGATCGCTTGAACCCAGGAGTTCAAGACCAGACTGGGCAACAACATTTTTTTTTTGAGTTGGAGTCTCACTCTGTCTCCCAGGCTGGAGTGCAGTGGCATGCTCACGGCTACTGAAGCCTCAACCTGCTGGGCTCAGGCAATCCTTCTGCCTCAACCTTCCAAGTAGTTGGAACTATAGGCACGTGCTACCACACCTGGATAATTGTGTTTTGATTTACTGGAGAGATGAGGTCTCAACAAGTTGTCCAGGCTGGTCTTGAACTCCTGGGCTCAGGCAATCCTCTTGCCTTGGCCTCCCAAAGTGGCGGGATTATAGGCTTGAGCCACCGTGCCGAGCCGCAACAAAATTACAAAAAAAAAAAAAAAAAAAAGCCAACCATGGTGGGGTGCACCTGTAGTCTCAGCTACTAGGGAGGTTGAGGCAGGAGGATCGCCTGAACCCAGGCGGTCAAGGCTGTGGTAAGCTGTGAGTGTGCCACTGTACTGCAGCCTGGGCAGCAGAGTGAGACTCTGCTTCCAAAAACAAACAAACAAAACACACACACATGTCCTTTCTTTTCTGGCCACTCGAGGGCCTTTGCTAATGCAGGTCCTTTTCCCAAGCTGCTCCTATTCATCCCTTAGATTTCTGCTCAAACGCTCTTCCGCAGAAACACACATCTGCAGACCCCAGTGCACACTCCCAAACTGTAATAACATACATAGCTGTGAAGCCAAGGTGGGAGGAAGCCAGCCGGGACAGTTCTGGGTTTAGTGGGGCCTGGAGCAGGTACTATAGAAGACCCTATTTTAGAAAAGGAGTACACAAGGATGAGTTCCTAAGAACACAGGAGAGTATTTACGTAGAATGAGAAAAGAAGGGGCCTTGGAAGTGTCTTTCCAAAGGAGAGGCCCAAGGTTGAGCTGCTTTGTGGTGGACACATCTCTTTCTATACAAGGGGTGGGGGAACACAGAAAAACTGGAAATTATCTTTTGGAGGGTAGGTCCCTTGTAGTACAAGCTTTCCCTGTTAGGTAAGTGTTCTAGGAACCCTTCAGTATCAGTGCACCAACTAGCATTGTTGTGAGAGGCTGGGTTTGAGTGGATTTCAGTTAATTTTTTTTGTGGCAAACAAGTCTTACCTTCCCACAATGCACCTGCCCACACAGTGCTGAGTGTTCACCCTCCCTATTCACCAGATCTCACTCCAAGTGGGTTTTTTTTTGTTGTTGTTTGTTTCCCTGGATAAAAGCCTAGGGCAACACAGCAAGGACTACGTTGCCCAGGAAACATAGTCCTTAAAGAGAAATGTTTTGCCGATGTGGAAGAGGTGAAACAAACAAACAAAAAAAACGTCAAAAGCATTCAAAGGCATTAAAATCGACGAATTCAAAAACGGTTCTGAGCAGTGGAAAAAGCATCTCCATAGGTGTATTGCATTGAATGGAGAGTACTTTGACTGAAGTGTAAACATGTAAGAATAAATCCACAATCTTTTTTCTTTAAATTTTTTTTTTAATTTTAAAGACATAAGGTACAATTCAGGAAAATTTTTTATAAATAGATTCTG